ACGACCGGTGGGAAGTGGGTACCATAGGTTCCCAAGGATGAGCTCCCTGATGATCGATTTTCAAGAACAGCAGCATTGTGGTTATTGAAAGTTATTCTTGTAAATTTATTTATATTTCCCAAGAAAGCTTCATATAACACGTCCATTATTAGTTTTTCGGTAACGATTTTGATTTCAGCAGGCAGCCTCCGAAGTTTATTTGCAATGTTTCGTCCTATAATGTCATCGTCGTCTTCAGGTTTATTCAGTTCAACTTCCAGTTGTTTCATGATGTCATCATGTTTTGTCTTTTTCACTTTCTTCGTATTAGGAATCGTTACCGGTACAGCTCCTCGACGGGCAAATGAAGTTCTTGGAAGAGGTCTTGTATGGTCCCCAACTTCTTCAATTGCCGTATCAGCAGGAGTTGAGTCATGTGATGAGTCTGCATCAATATCTGAATCAACCTGGAAAAAGACAATACGCTATAGCTATATGTTTGCAGAATGTTAAAAACAGTCCTATATTGTAGAAGGTATTGATAGATTCAGATTAAGGGCAACTTCTGATAGTTGGTTTCTAACAAATATTCATTCTCAATAACAGAGAATTCAATAATGATGTAGCCAAATTCAGGATAGTGTGACACGTGTTTCAACAAAACCAAGACCTAAGGTCTTATTTGTTATATCACTCACTGTATATCGCATAATTGGGTGTTTGTTGCAGTTTCCAAAAACGCAGGAGGAGTGGAAAGCTATTGCAAACAAATTTGAAGAGAAATGGAATTTCCCAAATTGCTTAGGAGCCGTTGATGGAAAACATGTACAAATCACAGCCCCCTACAATAGTGGGTCGTACTTTTGGAATTATAAAGGATTTAATAGTCTAGTGCTGTTAGCCATAGCAAATGCAGATTATGAGTTGATCATGGTGAACTTTGGTGTAAATGGTAGAGTATCGGATGGAGGAGTAATCGAAAATACATTATTTTATGAGAAACTCAGAAATGGTACACTTCATCTGCCGCCCTCTACGATTCCAATACGTGGGACAACTCCACTCCCATTTGTATTCATTGGAGATGAAGCTTTCAGCCTAAGAAAAGATTTTTTAAAACCGTATAGTCAAAAGACGTTAACCCCACATACAAGAATTTTCAATTACCGACTATCTCGAGCTCGCCGAATTATAGAAAATGTATTCGGAATAATGGCAGCACGGTTTAGAGTGTTTCATGTAGCCATACCTTTGAACTTGGAAAATACTGAAAAAGTTGTAATGGCTTGTTGTGTGCTTCACAATTTCTTAAGGCGACACTGCGCAAGTACTTATTCCCCATCACCATGTTTTGATATTGAACATACACAGACAGGAGATCTCGAAGTAGGTCTACGACCCCCACCTAATACTTTGACAGATTTTAATATTGGACGCTCGAGAAATGCTTCGCAGGATGCAAAACGTGTTCGTGAAGAATATGTCAAATACTTCAATAACGAAGGTTCTGTTTCCTGGCAACATCGATTCGTGTGATTAACAAATAGAGAAACAAATCCCATTAATGCACTTCCTGTATTAACAATGAATGTAAAAATATATATTATTACATTATCGACTTTTTTTAATATACTCATTACAATTTGAGCATAGGGATCACCCCAAACAACCCCCATGTTTATGCTCAAATTTGAATCACCCTGTAGGTACACTCACCTGCGATTGCCTTGAAGTACTCCTCTGCATCTTCTCAGTAGATTCAGTCATGTTTGAAATACTGTCCCTAGCTATTTCTTGATCGCTTAAAAAGAGGAGGTGTTCGTAGTACCATAAATGAGGTACATAGACATCATCAGCACCTGTTCCTGTAGTCTTCGATGCTTTCACTTTTTTCGCTTCTTTACGGAAACATCCACGCATAGAATCTAATTTCTTCACCACCGTTTTTTTAGTTGCAGATGGCTCGACTTCTTGCAGTTTTACGACCATTTCTTCATAGGCTTTATTTTTTTTGACGCGGTCACTATATTCGCTTGATTTAATTTGCCATAAACACGGATGGCTTCTATAAAGTTCTATGAATTCCATTAAAAACTCTTTATTCATTTGACGTAAATCCATTTCGACACCACTGTAACCAACTGACACGCAAAACCGTCTCATTAACATACACTACGGACTTGTCGAAACCTGCAAAACGGTTCGGGTAAAATTTCAAGCAGTGGCAATCTTTTTACTCGTCGGGTAAGACTGTCCGTTCTCAGGCATACACTATCCGTTTTGCACGTACAGTTTGGAACGTTCGGTTAAAACTGTCGTTTTTACCCGTAGTCTATTGCTGGCTTTCTCGGACAACATTTCCGCAGACATTCATGCCCTCCCATATATTCCAAATTGGTCCCACTTTTGGCAAATGAATAAGGATTATTCTTAGAAACTCCAACTATATTGCGCGTCTGAATCAACAAATCAATCGCCTGCCTCACGTAGGAGTTAATGAAACTGGAACCTTTTCGCCCCTTTTTCCGGGTATTCCCACCATGCACATTTTTTCGGCGGGTTCTTTCTCGAAGCCAGTCAGAGACTTTTTCAGTTTCCGTCTGGACTGTTCAGCCCAAAGAGGCCTCATCGTATAATGCTCTCCTGTCATCCGGGCAGTTTCGCTAGACCTTGTTTTATTGAAATGACCACTCTACCCAATACTAGCCTGCGATCGGTGACGACCTCTAGAATCACACTATCGGTGACATGTTAGATGTTATCTAACCTGTCGGATTTTACGGAGATTCACCCAGATCATTGACTTATTGAAGTATTTATGATTCAAGATGGTATTTATTCATTTTCTGATATTAGTACGAAGATATCCATAAATATTTATTAAAAAAAGAAATAAAAACACAAAGTGACTCACAGAAATAAAATAAATGAGAAATTATTATCCTTCAGAAAAATTTTCGAAACTAACATCCATTCATGTTCGATACAGTTGGCACACATCAATACAGTTTTAACTGTTTGCTCCCCGCAAATGGGTTTGTGACATGTATCACAAGAGTATTTTGTGAAACGGTTCTTCCTCTTCGGACAGAAGGAGCATCTTGGTTTCACATTTCCTTGTTGTGCTGTGGGTACATGGTCTTCATGTGCTTGTGGTACTGCATCTGGTGTCTGATCATTCAGCACATCCTTGATTTTCTGTTGCAAAAGAACAGATAAACTCCTCAAACTGGATCTTCACATAATGTGGGGTTTTGTTAGTTGCTTTGCTAACTCATATAAATACAACCTTCTAGCTATTTTGTCATTTGTGTTAGTAGAAATGAACAGAACAACGTTAGCGGCCAACAATTGCTCACTCGTGTTACACAGTACTCAGTCTTCATACGGTCCACAACATCAACCGCTTCTTTGGTGAGGTTGTAGAATGTGATAATCGATGGCTTCTTCTGATCTCGAGTCTCTGGGTCAATTTCGGCATCTTCATGAAATGTAAACAACATTAGGACATTCTTGTTCTTTTTAGGAATATAAGCAACAAGCATGCATTTCCTAGGTTCCACAGCCCACGCAAACATAGTGCTATGTACCTGGCGAATTTTTGTTTTCAAAAATATTGGGGGTATTTCAGGTTCATTCTTCCGTGAAGTACATACTAGAGAGAGGCGGTGATCCTTCAATAAATCGTTAGCGAGTGGTATGGAAGTGAAATAATTGTCGGTAGTGACATTCCTACCTGTACCACTGCAGTGTCTAAGAAGACGTAAACATCAAGATTGCGTATATAAAACATTCTTGGATCGACAGTTGCATACATTTTTATTCCATATTTTGCAGGTTTATTCGCAATGTATCGCCGGAACTTGCACCTTTCCCTAAACCCATCGAGCATCTCATCTATAGTAATGTATGAACCAACGCTATAGTGCTGTACACATTTCTCGGTGAACCAATCTAGTACATATCGCACTGCAGCTAGGTTATCTGTTTCAGCTCTATCCTCTCTTGTTTCTTTATAATCAAACCAGTTAGCTTCCAGCAAAAAATGAAAACGCTGCTGCGATAATGTAGCGGCAAAATATTCTGGAGCTGTTCCATTTGTGTTGATGTTACAGGTATTCAGGTGTTGAGCTCTTCTCACACCGGCTAGGTAAAGAAGTCCTAATACTGCCTTCAATTCTGATGAATCAGTATTCAAACAATGCTTCTCGTGCTTATAAGAGGGTCTCATTCGATCAATTTGTTTATTCGTACAAAGTGTAATATATTCTAATATCTCATTAGGAAAGAGAAGATCCCAAGTATCTATTACGGTTTTCGCATTTTTTGCAACATTTTTCACACCAGGCAACTGCGTGATTATATTTTGACGTGCAGTTCTACCTGATTGTTTCCTCACCTTATGAGCTAACCAATCAGTTCCATCTTTACCAATCTATGAAGGATTGTTTTCAGCAGTACTCTGACATATATCGAAGGTATCTTCTTCATCATCATCATCGGACTTTGGTGATTGTTCAGTGGCTGTTTCATGGTCACTATGCTCAGACGCAGCTTCTCCATCTTTCGAACTAGTAGGTGATAGATGAGATTCTCCTGATTGATCATCTGCATCATATCGTTCTTCTTCTATAGATTCCCAAAGTGCTTGCAAACGTTGTTGCTCAGCTTCATAAGACATTTTTTGGCAAACACAGTAAATAATAATTGGAATACTTAACTGAATTCAGATAGCTTGTCCGATTGAAATTAAACTACGTAACTTACTGGTATCTCTATTAGATTTCACCTAACATATAGTTCAGTTCAGACAAACGCACTCAGTGACTTGTTAGATTCCATCTAACATTCGCACGCGTTCTGATACGATGACATACTGTTAAATGAAAGAATGCGTGCTAGTTGAATCGAAGATGGGGCTTGGTCTAGGACACGATGGGGGAGAAATAGCAAGAACGGCCTTGGAATATATCTCACAGTTTGGAGATAATGCGCGTTTATTTGAAAATGTTAGATAGAATCTAACGCGGACACCGATCGCGGGCTAGAGTGACTGAGCTCGTCCAAGTTGATAACGTTTGTTGCATCGTTTTATGGATTTCTCTCAAATTGTTCTCAATTCCTGATTTTGAATATTCATTCAACTTAATCAAATCGCTTGTGATTGGCAACAACTGTGTACAATTCGGTTGTCTCTGGTATAATGTATTGAGAGCATTGGATCCTATATTCCATTCGATGTCCATTAAAGATGAGAATGATTCCATTATCTTGTTGATATGGCTTTTGCCATTTCTAAGAGCAATGCATCTTTCTATGTTAGCACATTTTCTCAGTGAATGACCAAGTTTGAGGACCAAAGATGGTATGCCAAATTGGGGTGTACTCGTTTTGGATAGACAAGAAGAACATAGTTTTTTAACAGCTAACACAACAATGTCGAAGTTTGCAAGCTGCACGGCTTCTTCCAATGTCTTGATGTGTCTCTTTCTATGACGCAGTTCCAACAACAATTTACCCATTTGTCTCATAGTTTGTCTGATTAGTTCTGCCTGACTACTATGGTACTTCTCAAACATCATAGTTCCTAGCTTGATATTCAGATCATCTTCACGGAAAACTTTCATGATTTCGTGTGTTCTCATTTTGCCAATGATATGATTGGTGAATTCTGCTGACACATTACTTTCGAAAATACCAGCTAATAGCGACTCACTCTCACTGATGGGTTTTCTAATTCGTTTTTCTCTTTATCTGCATTATAATATCTTTATATAGGCACTAATATTAGTTTTGAGCATGAAGTCCGAACAATCCGGGCATGAACCATAGTCGATATATGTTTATTTTCTTTTTTCAGTTTTTCAGCTCGTCATGCTTGGTTTGAATAACTTCACAATTGTCATAGAAATTCCCTTCGCGACTTATTTTGGCGATCTCAAGTCTTCTCTTTCTAGAATTTTTAGGCGTTGCCAGGATTTTCGCTACAGCAAATTCATTAGGATGAATACTGGTTAGAGGATGGATTAAATTGATTACAATTTTCTGACAAATGAGACAGCAGTATCTCTTATTATGTATTCGTTCATCTGTTTTGCTGCTTCTAGTCGAACACGTCATCTGAATGGCCTCACTATCGTCCGAATAATAATTTTCAACATCGTGTTATTCGAAGCAAGACTTTTTAGAATTTTTATTCATTTCATTGGAAGACATTCTCCTTGGGTAAGAGCGTGAACAATTGGTTGTACTCTGCTTTATATGATCATGTGCAGATAGATTCTTAGGTGCAGATATGTTTTTCAGTATAATCTTCAATACTTGCTCTTGTCAGATGTTTTTTCCATAATTTTGGATACTTCCAATTCATCGCACGAACATTCGTCACTTGCGTCAGTGATGATGTTTGATGTTGATGGATAGTACCCAGATAGCACAGAGACGTTTTGATGACCTTCTAAGGACGTCATAATAATGCACTCAGGATGTCGAGAGTCATCCGCAAGTCGTCCCTAGGACGTCCACCTGTTTCCATTTTCTACATGCAAATGACGTCTCAGAACATCCTAATGATATCCTCCAGAGACGTCCAGAAGACGTCTCAGGAGCTTTCTGAGAAAGGACTGAATGATGTACTTAGGATGTCGAGAGGCATCCGCAAGACGTCTCTAGGACGTCCATCTGTTACCATCTTCTTCATGCAAATGACGTCTCAGAACATCGCGATAATATCATCCAGAGACGTCCTGAAGACGTCTCAGGAGCTTTCTGAGGACGTACTGAATAATTTACTTATGATGTCGAGAGGCAGCTGCAAGACGTCTCTAGGACGTCCACCTGTTACCGTTTTCTACATGCAAATAATGTCCAGAACATGCTCTCATAATCCACCATACAGGGTCAAAGTGAAGACGTTTCACAGACCTTTTGAGGAGATCTATTTTCACATCTGAATCAAGGATATATATATATAGAAATTCTTTTCAACACTATCAAAAATGAAGGTAATTTACTCATATTTTTTCATATACTGCCATTGCGACTGAAAAAATTGATATATGATATTTTTTGCATTCTCAGTTTTGGGCCTGTCTGAACTTTTCATGAAGCATGAAATTTTTTTCATGAAAATGATAATTCTCCATTTGTTGCTAACTTTTTCAGACATACTGTATATATGAATGTTTATAATCACTAAAAAGTAACACACCAGCAGTTTGTTTTGTCATATATTTTCTGGAAATGGCTGAAAATTAGAATCGAGATAAGAATTGTTTACCAGAATAAAAATGAATGAAATTATTGAAATCAACTCACCATATGTTCCACACCTGAAAGTAGAGTCTAGCCATAGCACCAGTGCGAGAATATTGCGCCTGGTGCGCAGGTCGCTGGGCACGAGAAACAGAAAATTTCATTGCTTGCTCGCTCGCTCGCCGAGCGCGAGAAGCGAGGCGAGAAGGGTTAGTTATTTACCTGTCACCTTAACCACTGAGCTACAGACCTTTTTAATGAATGATATGAATGGGAAGATCTCAACACTTAGTGGCATACAACCATTATAATAATGGGTTTGGTAAGGGGAACACTTTGTATATCAATACATGAATAATAACATCAATTTCATAATTTGATACGATTCTGTATATTCTCAGAATATTCGAAAAGAATATTCTTGTGTATCTATGTCAAATTGAATGTTCATAGAATATTCGTTGCAGGATGAAAATATTTTATGATCATTTTAAGGACATTATGTTAGAATATTCTGAAATAAGTATATTTGAACATTGTCATTCTAGAATATTCCATTTCAGAAGCTCATTGGAACATATTTTCAGAATATCATTAGTATATTCGCAAAGTATTCCATGAATGTTCACAATATTCTGAAAATATTATTTAATGAACATTCTGGAATATTATATCCCAGGAGCTTCTAGGAATGTACTTTCATGTAATACTATCAGAATATTCGCATGGAACATTCCATAAATATTCGCAACATACTGAGAACTTTCTATGCATATTCTCCAGAATATTATTCTAGGAGATGACATTTTCGCAGCTTGTAAGAATATTCTGAGAATATTCGTGCTATCTGGGGATATAAATATGTAATAATTATAAACAGTACATTGTTAATTCAATTTGAATAAATTGATTTGAGGTGTGTCACGATTCTAGGGATCACCCTGTAACATGGTATCAACTAGGAAAGCAGTTGTCTAATTGTATCATTTCACAACAATGACTTATTTGTTTTTGTTTCGCTGCAATTTCTCGCGCCCAGCGAGCAGCGAGCGACGCGCAATATCATTTCACAATGACTTATTTATTTTTGTTTCGCTGCAATTTCTCGCGCCCAGCGACCTGCGCACCAGGCGCAATATTCTCGCACTGGTGCTATGGCTAGACTCTAGTACACCTGAATATCTCCACCCTATGAAGTGGCCAACAGGTGTTCTCTAGGTCATGTCTTTCAATGGCCTGAAGTACCTTGTCTTGAGTAAAAGGAGGCCAATAACAATAATCGCTCCCTACTAGCCATGTGGTAGGCACTGCCTCCACAGAATTTTCCTCACAAAATTGTACAATGATCCATGTTAGTGCCATTTCCCATCATTATAATGCTGTGGAAAGAACATTGCCAGATATTTGAGCAAACTCTGATGGTGTGGAGAGAATGAGTAGTTATTTGTGCATAAATTATTCAAGGAAGACAATTGAAAACTAACAAAAATCATATATTTACAAGCTATGAAGATATTTCATAATCATAAAATATTTAGAGAAGTCCTTTGAAATAAAATATTATTCTGAAGGCTGTCGCTAAACTGCCGGCAATCCATGGAAATGCCGTTGATAGATGTGTGTAATAGATATGTGTTTGTTCTTTCAAATTTAGAATAGAATAGAATAGAATAGAAGTTTATTCACATAAGTGGAAATAATACATGTTTTACAAATTTTTGCCTATGAAAATAAACAGAAACACCATTTAGTCCTTCACGAGGACTGTCTATGGATAAGATTTCTTTGATTATTTAATAGACTTCAATTTTGTGAGTGAGTATTAGACATATAATGGACTATAATTATATTATTTCTAATGACAAGAATATATTTGAGGAAGTATATTATATTAGTTTAGATTATTAATCTAAGGTTAGTAGCACATTCAGAAATGGATAAATCGACTGAGGAGAAAGTGTAGTAATAAAGTCTCTAATATAATAGTATTCAAAGTAAGTAGGGTAAGTGTAAGTATGCATTTAATTGACTTTAACATAAAAAGTTTTGCATGATAGGATTGATTCATTCAACGACTGTATTGAAAAATGTTCTCTCTTGTTCGAGGATCCAGTCTTTCATATTTCTTTTGAAACCAAGTTTGGATTTTATATTTCTGATAGATTCAGGGAGGAGGTTATAGAATCTTGGAGCAGTATAGAAGAGAGACCGCTGCCCTAATGCTTTGTTTGCTTTAGGTAAGGAAACATTTTTCATCTTCATACTGCGCGTGTTATATGAGTGGTTCGGTTTGGTGAGGTAAGTTGATTTATTCGAGAATGTGAACATCAGAACCGATTTCACATAGATTTGTCTCACATCTAGTATTCTTAAATCTTTGTATAGTTGGTCAGATTGATATAATGCAGGTTTAAAAGTTATAATTTTGAGAATTCTTTTTTGCAGGATTTGTAGAGGTTCCAGTATGGTCTTTCGAACTCCCCCCCACCCAATTATTCCATAGCTTATGAGGGACTCAGCAATAGCAAAATAAATGATTTTAAGGTTTTTGAGAGGAAGTATATATCGACACTGATAGAATTTGTATAGTAGTGAACGCATCTTTTTTTTTAGGTTGTCAACGTGACCGTCCCATCTTAAGAACGAGTCGATTGTTATACCAAGGTATTTTGCTCTGGTTGCAATAGTAACATTCTGTCCATCAAAAACTATATAGTTGTAAGGCGGTAGATTATTTTCATATGAGGTAAAGGGTAGGATATTGGTTTTAGTTACGTTCACAGTCAACAGATTTACTTTGAACCATTTACTTATTTTTTCTAGGTCTTGTTGGGCTTTTTCTTTTACTTCTGTCCATGAATCCGCCTCATATAATATAACTGTGTCGTCAGCGAAGGAGACAATCACACCTTGGGTTTCCGAGGTAAGTAATGAGTTCAGATATATTATAAATAGCACAGGTCCAAGAACAGTTCCCTGTGGTACTCCACAGGAAACCGTTCTTGGACTACTCACTATATTATCTAACTTAACCATCTGTTGTCTATCACTCAGAAAACTCTTGAGGAGCTTTAATGGAATACCTCTTATGCCTATGTGTTCAAGTTTCTCCATCAAAATCTCGTGACTAACAGTATCAAATGCCTTTGCTAAATCGACAAAGACACCAAGGCATGCCTTCTTATTATCAACAGCTTTGTACAACAGCGAAGTTACATATGCTAAAGCATCTTGGGTACTCCGATTTTCTCTGAATCCGTACTGTCTATCAGAAATTATTTGATTTTGTTCAAGGTAATCCATAAGGCGACACTTTATTATTCTCTCAAATAATTTAGAAATAGCCGACGTTAGCGAAATTGGTCTGTAGTTTGACATGCTAGTTTTTATA